TAGGTTATCTTAAGGGTGGTTAGGTTAGGTTAGGTTAGGTTAGGTTAGGTTAGGTTAGGTTATCTTAAGGGTGGTTAGGTTATATTAACGTCAGATAATTACTTAAAAATTATAAAATATAACATTACTAATAAATGCAATAATACATATCCATCGTCGCTTCACAGACGTTCTTCAGCTGAGGTAAAATCCAAACGTTTGCTTAGGATTAATTTTCTTTCGTATGGATTATTTTCTTTAAGTGAGCTAAAGTCTGCGTCTTACAAGTCACAGTCACGGTTTTAAGAGCTTCACCACATACATAAGTTTTACAAATTTCATTACTACATTGATATGCTTCGGACGGATTAGTAATCGATTTAGTTTTAGTTAAAGTTGAGGAATAAGGTAAGTTCATTTATGCCAAAACGAATATTTACAGACACGAATAAATTAACAAAAAATATCCGTAAGTGACAAGTCTCTAAAATATCGAAGTATCCTCTCTCGATATTTTTTCTCTCATTTACCCGTCATTAAATATCTATCCTGATCTAGATTATGGGAGCCTCAGCTGAGTCATTAGCCACTCGGAGGAGCAAAGTTAGGCCATTATCTGACAACCGATAAGCCAGAGATCGCCTCCGACTGTTAGGATTCATCTTAAGGATTAGGGAGAACTTGAGACTGAACATCCATGGCAGGATTTTTGACCTCAGCGCTGCTGATAGTGTCATGTCCTGGCTTACTAAATGATGGTAAAACTTCCGAGTTGTTTTATGAATTACCAACATCACTTGTGTATCAGTGCCGGACCCTCTCGGAAAGTTTTTTTCTTTTTTTTTTTTTTGATGGGCTCGTGAGTGGACGTACCCACATCCTTGCTGGCACTGACTGGATGAAGCCACATCCCTGCTGGTACTGACTGGATGAAGCCACACCCTTGCTGGTACTGACTGGATGAACCCACATCTCTGTTGGTACTGACTGGATGAAGCCACACCCTTGCTGGTACTGACTGGATGAAGCCACATCATTGTTGGTACTGACTGGATGAAGCCACACCCTTGCTGGTACTGACTGGATGAAGCCACACCCTTGCTGGTACTGACTGGATGAAGCCACATCCCTGTTGGTACTGACTGGATGAAGCCACATCCCTGTTGGTACTGACTGGATGAACCCACACCCTTGCTGGTCTTGACAGGTTGAAGCCACATCCCTGTTGGTACTGACTGGATGAAGCCACACCCTTGCTGGTAATGACTGGATGAAGCCACACCCTTGCTGGTACTGACTGGATGAAGCCACACCCTTGCTGGTACTGACTGGATGAAGCCACATCCCTGTTGGTACTGACTGGATGAAGCCACACCCTTGCTGGTACTGACTGGATGAAGCCAAAACCCTTGCTGGTACTGACTGGATGAAGCCACATCCCTGTTGGTACTGACTGGATGAAGCCACATCCCTGTTGGTACTGACTGGATGAACCCACACCCTTGCTGGTCTTGACAGGTTGAAGCCACATCCCTGTTGGTACTGACTGGATGAAGCCACACCCTTGCTGGTAATGACTGGATGAAGCCACACCCTTGCTGGTACTGACTGGATGAAGCCACACCCTTGCTGGTACTGACTGGATGAACCCACATCTCTGTTGGTACTGACTGGATGAAGCCACACCCTTGCTGGTACTGACTGGATGAAGCCACATCCCTGTTGGTACTGACTGGATGAAGCCACACCCTTGCTGGTACTGACTGGATGAAGCCACACCCTTGCTGGTACTGACTGGATGAAGCCACATCCCTGTTGGTACTGACTGGATGAAGCCACATCCCTGTTGGTACTGACTGGATGAACCCACACCCTTGCTGGTCTTGACAGGTTGAAGCCACATCCCTGTTGGTACTGACTGGATGAAGCCACACCCTTGCTGGTAATGACTGGATGAAGCCACACCCTTGCTGGTACTGACTGGATGAAGCCACACCCTTGCTGGTACTGACTGGATGAAGCCACATCCCTGTTGGTACTGACTGGATGAAGCCACACCCTTGCTGGTCTTCACAGGCTGAAGCCACATCCCTGCTGGTCTTCACAGGTTCAAGCCACATCCCTGCTGGTCTTCACAGGTTGAAGCCACTTCCCTGCTACTCCTTGCCCACTGCAGTCAACTCGCCTGAAAACTTTCTCCTTTGGCATAAAAGATCGTTGGCTTCTGACGTTATTAAACACTCATACTTACTGTGTTATGGTGTTACTGTCACGCTCCCGTTACTGACAACAGTGACGTTAATTTTTTTTGTGTTAATGAACACAGCGATATCACTCCCTTGTGTGACTGGAGACAGTGATGTCACTCTCTTGTGTTACTGAAAACAGTGATGTCAATCTCTTGTCAAAAGATACTCCTTGTCTCTGCTAGGATGGGCCTGGCGTAAGTTGTGTACAAAATCCTAAAAGGTTTTTGGTTAAGGTTCCTGAAGGCTACAGCTTACATAAGTTATGCGGTTTATGTGGCTTTAGCGGTGATACCTGTATTTATAACCTCCCTGTCTGTATTCCGTATTCGAGCTTCCTCACCCTTCAACAAATTCCTCGACGCTACATTTATTTAGATTGAATTCCAGCAGCCACTTACTTGCCCACCCATCCTTGTAACATATCTAAATCTTACTGGAAATCCTCGCTGTCCTATCTTGTTCTTAATATTTTACATTATCTACAAAACGACGAATAGGATTCGATCCCATCCGGCAAGTCATTTACTGATGTAATAAAAAGTAACGGCTCAAATGCTGATCCTTAAGGGACATGTGAAGGCTTACTCAGCCCTGTAACAACTTCAGACAGTATTACCAAGGCTGGCTCCTCCTCAGGAAAATTAATGAATAGAAAAAGAAATAATTCACAAAGATAAACACTTTATTATTTATTAAAGCAAACATAAAACAGGGAAACATGAAAGGTATATCCTATTGGAAAGAAAAATGAAAAATGAAATGAAAAAAAATGACATTTGAACTCAACGCTAATATATATATAATATATATATATATATATATATATATATATATATATATATATATATATATATATATATATATATTAGATAATGGGGTGTCTGGTGGAGGTTGACACCGTCTTGTAGAAATCGTAGCCGTTGCTGATGATGTGGGGGGGGGGGTTGCAGGTGTTGGTGACAACCCAACGGCTCGTTCTTCACCGAGTATAACCGTGAATAATCAGTCCAGATGACAGGAAAGCAGGTTCTTTACCCCTGCAATGATGAGGGGTTACGTCCAGCGATGGCATACATGTACACAGGTAAGTAGATACAACATGGGACGTCTCAGGACTTCAGTCTGTCTCCATCAATTCTTCTCGTTGGTTGGCAGGTGACCCAATCTGTCATTCCAAGTTGTAAAGAGAGACAGGTTACCCACTGCTTAACAAATCACTCTCCATGATAAGTACAATACCTAAAAGATGTGGTAATTATTAAAACCTTTAAGAGATGTCAAGGCTGAAAGGACTAAGTTTATTATTGGTCAAAAGTGAAGCTTTCAACCAATAAGTCCACTAAAATATGAGCAGGCGTGTACTTACAGTAGTGCTGGGAGCTGTGAGTCGAGTGATTACTGTTTGACCGGAGCCCCACACGTCACCTTTCGGGGGGGGGGAGGAAGGGGGGGGATAGCGGGAGCTAGACTTACCCTACCTTAACAAGCAGCCGGCAATCAAACTATCACTTTCGGGGTGGGGGAAAAAGGGGGAGGATAGCGGGAGCTAGACTTCCCCTACCTTAACAAGTAGCCGGCAATCAAACTATTGTTACCATGTACTTGCTCGATACTCCTATCTGTTGAACTTTTCCCTCACAGGACACCAATTTTAACTTGAATCCAACTGAACACTTCCCTCGTGCTGTCACGCCTTGTCTTCTGTATTTCAGTTACTAAAGAACAAAAAAGGCACAATACCGTGACTGGAACAATACACAAATAATCAGCACATAGAGAGAAGCTTACGACGACGTCTCAGTCCTACTTGGACTATTTACAAAGTCACATTAACACAACAGAGGGAGCCAGTATCCCTCTCTCTGTGTGATTTTGTAAATAGTCCAAATCAGACTGAATCGTCGTAAGATTCTCTCTCCAACGTGCGGGTTATTTGTGTATTTCAGATACTCGTTGATCCATTGTATGACGTCTCTTGTTATCCCTTCTCGATGTTAAAGCTTGTGGATCAATTCAGGAATATGTAATCTTCCCATCCTTGTCCTTATTGTTTCATTTCAGCAACTCTGTCCTAGAAGTCCAGCAAGTTGGTTAAACAGGATCTACCATCTCTGGTGGTCAAGTGTTCTTCTCGTGTAATGTTCTCCATTACTTTGGAAAGGATGTAAGACAGTGATATTGGTGCTAGTTTAGTGCCTTCTGCCTGTTCCCTTTAAGCACTAGCAATGCATCAGGTAGCCAAATTTTAACTATTCAGGAGCTGTCTAGTATTTAGTGGCTTGTTGAAGTGTTTTTGTGTGTGTGTGTGTGTGTGTGTGTGTGTGTGTGCGTGTGTGTGTACTCACCTATTTGTACTCACCTATTTGTGGTTGCAGGGGTCGAGTCATAGCTCCTGGCCCCGCCTCTTTGCTGATTGCTACTAGGTCCTCTCTCTCCCTCTCTTTATCATACCTCGCCTTAAAACTATGTATGGTTCCAGCCTCCACTACGTCACTTTCTAGGCTCTTCCACGGCCTGAATACTCTATGACTGAAGAAATACTTCCTAACATCCCTTTGATTCATCTGAGTCTTCAACTTCCAATTGTGACCTCTTGTGTCTGTGTCCCGTCTCTGGAACATCCCGTCTTTGTCCACCTTGTCTATTCCGCGCAGTGTGAGTGTGTGTGTGTGTGTGTGTGTGTGTGTGTGTGTGTGTGTGTGTGTGTGTGTGTGTGTGTGTGTGTGTGTGTGTGTGTGTGTGTTACTAACGTGTCTGTGTGTGTGTTTGCAGAGGTACTGCCGGCCAGATGCAGCGTCAACAACCGCACCTTCGATGACGGTGAATCCTTCAATCTCGACTGTCGCACCCAGTGTACCTGTCAGGTGAGTCCTCCCTTGTACCCTTGTACTCGTCGGATGAGTCCTCCCTTGTACTTGTCAGATGGGTCCTCTCTTGTATCTCTCAGGTTAGTCTCTTTTGTACCTGTCAGGCGAGTCCTCCTTGATATGTTCATTATATATATATATAATATATATATATATATATATATATATATATATATATATATATATAATATATATATATATATGTAAATGCTTCACATTTAGAAGCATTTACACCTTACTCGACCACTGGTACAATATAGTGACATTTACCGTGATCAATGGAGGGTAAATCTGCATGCTGATTCTGCATGACCTTGAACCACCTGTGTACTTCTCCGTATGCTGATCATTCATACTACATGGCACCTCCAACACTAAGCATAGTGCACAGTGTCTTAAACTGCAGTATTACTGTGGGTCATCCAGGGTTAATCACTCTTCGGTTAATACAAAAATCCCAGTAAAATCTTCAGTGGAATATTATGTCTTTATGAGTTCCACACTCATTTATAATACTCCAAATCCACGTATTTTGTGCTAACAACAAGTAAACTTCATGACCCAGTGTTCTCTCCCTCATAGTTCACTACACACTCCCCCGACCACTACAGTCTACCCCGTAGTTCACTACACACTCCCCCGACCACTACAGTCTACCCCGTAGTTCACAAACACTCTCCCCCCGACCACTACAGTCTACCCCGTTTCACTACACACTCCCCCGACCACTACACTCTACCCCCGTATTTTCACTACACCTCCCCCCGACCACTAACAGTCTACCCCGTAGTTCACTACACACTCCCCCGACCACTACAGTCTACCCCGTAGTTCACTACACACTCCCCCGACCACTACAGTCTACCCGGTAGTTCACTACACACTCCCCCGACCACTACAGTCTACCCCGTATTCACAAACACACTCCCCCCGACCACTACAGTCTACCCCGTAGTTAAACTACACACTCCCCCGACCACAAACAGTCTACCCCGTAGTTCACTACACACTCCCCCGACCACTACAGTCTACCCCGTAGTTCACTACACACTCCCCCGACCACTACAGTCTACCCCGTAGTTCACTACACACTCCCCCGACCACTACACTCTACTCCGTAGTTCACTACACACTCCCCGACCACTACAGTCTACCCCTAGTTCACTACACACTCCCCCGACCACACAGTCTACCCGGTAGTTCACTACACCCCTCCCCCGACCACTACAGTCTACCCCGTAGTTCACTACACCCCTCCCCCGACCACTACAGTCTACCCCTTAGTTCACTACACACTCCCCCGACCACTACAGCCCTACCCCGTAGTTCACTAACACTCCCCCGACCACTACAGTCTACCCCGTATTCACTACACACTCCCCCCACCACACACTCTACCCCGTATTTTCACTAAAACCTCTCCCCCGACCCACACAGTCTACGCCGTAGTTCACTACAACACTCCCCCGACCACTACAGTCTACCCCGTAGTTCACTACACACTCCCCCGACCACACAGTCCTACTCCGTAGTTCACTACACTCTCCCCCGACCACTACAGTCTACCCCCGTATTCACTACACCACTCCCCCCCCGACCACTACAGTCTACCCCGTATTTTCACTACACACTCCCCCGACCACTACAGTCAAACCCCGTATTCACTACACACTCCCCCGACCACTACAGTCTACCCCGTAGTTCACTACACACTCCCCCGACCACTACAGTCTACCCCGTAGTTCACTACACACTCCCCCGACCACTACAGTCTATCCTGTAGTTCACTAAACACTCCCCCACCACAACATCAAACCCCGTAGTTCATATAAAAACCCCCCCGACCACTACATTTCTATCCCGTAGTTCACTACACACTCCCCCCGACCACTACAGTCTACCCCTAGTTCACTAAAACACTCCCCCGACCACTACAGTCTACCCCGTAGTTCACTACACACTCCCCCGACCACAAACAGTCTACCCCCGTAGTTCACTACAACTCCCCCGACCACTACAGTCTCCCCCCGTAGTTCACTACACACTCCCCCCGACCACTACAGTCTATCCCGTAGTTCACTACACACTTCCCCCGACCACTACAGTCTATCCCGTAGTTCACTACACACTCCCCCGACCACTACAGTCTTACCCCGTAGTTCACTACACACTCCCCCACCACTACAGTCTACCCCGTATTTTCACTACACACTCCCCCACCACTACAGTCTACCCCGAAAGTTCACTACACACTCCCCCGACCACTACAGTCTATCCCGTAGTTCACTACACCCCTCCCCCGACCACTACAGTCTACCCCGTAGTTCACTACACATTTCCCCCGACCACACAGCTACCCCGTAGTTCACTACACACTCCCCCCGACCACTACAGTCTACCCCGTAGTTCACTACACACTCCCCCGACCACTACAGTCTACCCCGTAGTTCAGTGTTCTGTTCCCAGCGAGTATAAATTTCTTTCCTACTCGCCTGGGACCCTGTTTCTCTCCTCTAAATCTTTATATGCTGCACCAAAATTCCATTTAGTGTTTTCTGTCTTCACGTATTGACCATTGACCTTATTTAATGCTCTGGGTCATCCAGTATTTCAGTTACACCATGAACATTTAATTCTGGCTATTGATCTATATTCTATAACTTCACAAGCATACCTTACGTAACCTCTGTGGTCTTGCATATGTCCCCATTACCTCCTTATGTTGCTCTGTGACCTCATATATGTTGCTCTGTGACCTCACATATTGCTCTTTGACCTCGTACATTTCTTTGGGATGTCCTATATTGGTTTTTAAAATCGTTTATTGACCTGTGACATATATTGCTCTGAGACTTCATATTTTTGACAGCATATATTTGCTCTGTGACTTAATTTGCAACATTGTGACCCTTGTGATGAATGGTTTGAAAAACCGACAATTTGAAGATTGAGACACTTATGCAACATATGGGAATCTTTACTCAGGAAACGTTTCGCCACACAGTGGCTTCATCAGTCCAATACAAAGTAGAAAGGCGAAAGGAGAGGAGGAGTTTGAGGTAATCAGTCCCTCAGCCTGGAGTCGATGTGTTCAGTCCATCAATCTTGTAGAATGTACAGCATAGGGCCGTAGACGTGGCTTATATACTGCAGTGAGGTGAGGCGAAGCAGGAGGAGGTGGGGTCATAGTGGTATCATCCACTAGTCGAAGTAGGTCTTCGTCCAAAGGTTGGACAAGTGTTGAAGAATTCTTTGTAACAAGATCCCATGATGCTGCAGTGTCTGACAGTTGTGATGAATGGTTTGAAAAACCGACAAGTTGAAGATTGAGACACTTATGCAACATATAGGAATCTTTCGCCTTTCTACTTTGTATTGGACTGATGAAGCCACTGTGTGGCGAAACGTTTCCTGAATAAAGATTCCCATATGTTGCATAAGTGTCTCAATCTTCAACATTGTGACCCCAATTATTCCGTGACATAGTATATTATCCTGTGACCTCATATATTGCTTCGTGACCTCATATACTGTCCTGTGATCTGATATATTGCTCCATACCTATAACTTGTGATCTTATAAAATTCCCTGTGACTTTTTATGACCCGGTGGCTCTCGTCTACAGAATGGAACGTACGCCTGCGTGTCGCTGTGCCCCAGTGAAAGCATCCTGCCCAGTGCCCAGTGCCACCACCCACACCTGGTAACAGTGCCAGGCCAATGCTGCAGGGAGTGGATGTGTGATACAGACCCAGGTCAGTGCCACCATGCAAGAACTACTAGTGCCAGTGACGCTTCTAGCCAACCTTCATAGAAATAGTAGTGCCATTTACATTTCTGGTCAACCTGGACAGAACTAGGAGTGCCAGTGACAGTTCTAGTCATCCTGGACAGAACTAGTGGTGCCATTAACTCTTCTAGATCTCAAGACTTGAACTAAGAGCATCTGTCTGGAAGTGACGCTGCTGGTTCTTAAGGTCAAAACTATGACTGCTAGTGACACTGCTAGTTCTTATGCTGAAAATCAGGAGTGTCAATAGTAATTTTGCTCTTCCTGAGGAATTCAGGTAATTATCACAGGTCTGTTCTAGTCAGTTCCAGGTCGTCGGTTATTATGACAGAGAGTTCTTAGCTTGTATATAAAGGTAGGAACCTTCAACCTAACCGTGTAAAACCCTTGTGTAAAGAGAGAGACGGAGAAAGAGAGAGAGACCTGTTGTCACATACTGACCTTCATATACCGCATGATCGTGCAGTATATAAAGGTCAATATGTGACAACAGGTGAAATATATTTGATAACAAATGAGAGCTCATAATGCACAAAGGCTTATTCTGTAGACGCTCAGGAAGATCTGTAAACATAACCGGTTAAGCTCAGCAGAGGTGTGGAGCACCACTGCACCACCACCACTGCCTAGCACCAAGGGAATCAAGCAGCTGAGCTCAGCAGAGGGGTGGAGCGCCACTGCACCACCACCACCTAACACCAGGGGAATCAAGCAGCTGAGCTCAGCAGCTGAGAGCGCCAACTCCCGACAGCTGCCTCGTACTAATTCTTATATTGAGGACTTGATAGAGGCGAAGTTGGGCCACAAAGCATCTCTGGAGAGGCACTTTTGTAAGGAACTCTTAGTGGAAGTTTGGCAACCCCTTCCCCCTTTCCCCTGTCCCCCCTCCTCTCTCTTCCCCCTTTCCTCTCTTCCTCCCCTTCTCCTTATCCTCCCACCCTGGGCACGCGTGAGCTGGTGTGTCTGCCTTGGCATGCTGATGGCTTGCTCCTACGAGATCCTCTGGAAATGCCCTACTGGTTAGGGGGGAACAAAACAGGGAACAAAACCTTCTCCTTCCCGCCTGTCCAGTGGGTAAACCTCCACTGGGAAAACCCTGTGAAGAAATACCCCCTTAACTAGCACGCAAACTTAAGGATCCCCACTGGGAATACCCCAACTTGAGGGAAACCCCATAGGGAACACCCATTTAAGATAGCCCATTAGGAATACACCACTGGAGAAGCCCCAGGGGTTGAAACCCTCACTGGGCCCACTCACAGGGAGAGGTCCAGTTGAACCATCGCGAATGAGAGTGTAAAACAGAGCCCTGGATAGGGTTCTCACAATAGTTTGGAAATTTGAACCGAGATCTTCGTGTAAGTAAACAGCGTGACGCCCATGATTTTTGTAGGTAAGATACACTTGGCAGAACTGTTTTTAAATGGGGACTGAGTTTCCATCCGTTAATATCTTTATCAAGTAGTAACAACTGTAACAGACTGCAACGTTGTTTTCAAAATGCCTGTTTCGCAAGATGTAGGATCGCCATGTTACTGAAACACTTCGAAAGAAAAAAATATATATATACGACAACGATAACGGAACCAAGCAGATTGTTTATTGTGTATTTCACGTTGAGAACAAAAATTACATATATGTATAGATAGATGGTATTGGCATACAAATGTAGCAATAAAATCAATAAGAGATGGAGCGTGACAGATCTCTTGAAGCAGCAAGATAATGACGGGGAAGAATACTCCTTGAGCTAACAAGGAGTTGTTTGAAGAGGGGTGTGAGGAACACTAAGGAGAAGAGAGAGAGAGAGAGAAACGCTAAACTCATAAGGAATATATAGTGCTTGGGAAATATGAGGTAATTTTTAGATTGATGCGGAGGGCAGAATAGCCCCAATTCTTTACATGAAGAACCTTCAAGAGTGTCAGGGCACTGCCCGTGAAGGAAGCTTAATGATGAACAGTTTAGTCTCAGGAGGCGGTGGAGGTGAAGGTAGTGGTAGTGGTAGTGGTAGTGATAGTGGTAGTGGTAGTGGTAGTAGTAGTGGTAGTGTTATTGGCTGTGGTGGCGACTGTTCCTGTTTGTAATGTTGTGTTTTATAGTCGGGCACTAGTGGTGTTTGTGATGGTGGTGGTTGTTGCTAGTAGTAGGAATGTTTGCGGGGGGGGGGGGAGTTGCGTGGGGGTGGTGGTTGTTGCTGGTGGTGGTGGTTGCTGCTGCTGGTGGTTGTTGCTAGTAATGGGAATGTTTGTGGGGGGGGGGGGGGGGAGTTGGGTGGTGGTGGCTGTTGTTGCTGGTGGTGGTTGTTGTTGTTGGTGGTGGTGGTTGTTGTTGGTGGTGGTGGTTGTTGTTGGTGGTGGTGTTGCTTGTGGTAGGAGAAGTGTTGGCGGTGATGACTATCACGTTGATGTTGTTGGTTTGGTTATATTGTTAATTGTAAAATTGTTATTGGTGGGGAAGCTTCAGTAATGACGTTGTTGGTGTAGGAGAGGTGGTGGTGGTGGTGGTGGCGATAGTAGTAGTGGTGCTAGTGGAGGTGGTGGAGCGCCAAGCACTAACACACACACACACACACACACACCAGCTGCACCGCGCCTATAACTTCCTCCCGACCAATGGACACAAAATTTATGGCTGGCGATATCAACAGAGCAATAAAACATCGCCATCCTCGTTTGTTACATTTTTCCAGGACTGATGGCACACTGTATTCACCAAAGGTGGCGTTAATGGCTCCACTGATGTGACAGATGGGGCTCAGGTGGTTGTTTCCACTCATGTGACATATGTTACCAAGATGGTTGTGGCCCCTCTGATGCAAAAGGCGGTACGCAAGCTGGTTATGGTGTGATCTGAAGGATGGCAGGCAGGTGGTTACGGTACTGATGTGATAGTACGCAGGTGGTTACGGTGCCGAGAACAAAAAAGGAGAGGAAAGGAACATATTAAATTACGCGAGAGACAACTAAGAAAGGATGATAGACTTTCTGCATGCAGAACATTAAAAATATTGGTAATGGAGGAAGAAAGAGAAGTTAAGAAAATTACGGCGATCCCAGAAAAAAAGTGCTAGGAGGTGGATTATTATTATTATTATTATTATTATTATTATTATTATTATTATTATTATTATTATTATTATTATTATTAATATATTTAAGGGGAAGCACAAAGCCCTCAGGGATCATGCAGTGCCTGTGGAATGGGATGAAATCAGGGTTGAAATCAGCTAGCATATACTGTGACCTACAGTCACACAAAACACTCAGGACACAGCAAGTAGAGGTGGCAGCTCGTAGAGTTCCTGAAGGTGGAAGAAATGACCATCACTGAAAGTAGAAGAGGCAGTTCGCAGAGTCAGTCGTTTATCCAAAAATGTGGAAAGGTAAAGACGAAGGAGACGCACTACAGCTTGCATAAACTACAGAAAGAAAAAACTAACTGTTAGGAGGCAGGAGAAAATAGAGGCAGAAGATGTAGAAAGGAATATTTACCTATGAGAATGAGAGGAGAAGCGGCTGCAGCAATTTGAGAATTATAAGTCTACAAACGCTAAATCAAAATGAAAATGGCAAATCCACGTCAAATAAAAAGGAGGAGAGATTATGTGTTACGGCAAAGAAACATTTAAGAAAACGATTTTTTTTTATATATATTAAAATCCAGGTTTTATTCCCTGGACCTCAGCAATGAGAGTCGCTTCTCTCACCGCTGGGCAAGGGCGACAGTTATAAGACAGTTATAAGAAAACGGAATAGAAGATGAGAACCAATTAAGAATAACTAGCCAAAATGTCTTCATAAGCTTCTCTCTCCTATGTGCGGGTTATTTGTCTATTCAGGTATTCCGTTCAAGGTTCATCAGCTACGTTGGCTTCAAAGTTTTTTTTTTTTTTACAGGTAAAAATGGTTATAACAGACCATAATTTTTAAAGGGGTGGACCGGTAAGCCAGCGGATGGCCTCGGTCAGATGACCAAAAGCTCCAACGACGGGTCATCATCTGACTAAGACCCGCGTCAGGAAACACTTGTCCTGTTTCCTGACGAACCTTACCTAACCTAACCTTCAAAGGTTTCGTTCCAGAAAACATAGCTGGAGTAACTATCACTTGGGTATTGCCCCTTTCACCACCCAGTGAAAGGGGACACATGGTTCTAGCCGCATGGGAACACTACTAATTTCCTGCTGTCCGTCAGTATCCGATAAGCCGAAAGGGAGTCTGTCAGCCGGCTCTAATGCAGGAAGTGATCAGCTTAACCTCCAGAGCATGAGACGTTTCCAGTATATATGTCCTCGTTCTTGGTCGGACACTTTATGGTATTTTGTCAAATATTTTTTCATATATATAAGGAGACCCAATCCATTGAAGCCCAGCCCAACTCCATCTAAAGTATCCTAAATAGGTTGGTTAGCTAGTTGGTATGTTAGGTTTAAAGCCTACTGACTGCACGAAGTTTGGAAAAAAATAGAGCCACTAGGTTATAAATTGTCATAGCATGGAAAACTTACAGAAAGAGGAGGACAGCAGGATAAAAAAAAAACAGAAATACTAGTAAGGTTGCATTTCACATTTATTGTAGAGTTGGTCCAGAAGAAACCTGAGTGAGAGGTCATTCATAATAAAACCTTACTCTCCACCAATCGCTTGCCTCTCACACGTTTGGGTAATACCTGTCATCCTACATGTATACCCTTGGTTAAGAATATTTTAGGCTCTAAGAAATAGATGATTAAACTCTAGGTGTGTATGTACTGATATATACACCTATTATATATCCATTACTGTTATCGATGCAAATACATAAACAAAAATATACCCCTCAAAATACAGCATATTTTTTGTTATATTAGGAGGGCACGAACAAGCGTTACTGTGACTCCATTCTAATGCTGCATCAAAGCAGCATGGGTCATCCAGCACAAGAGTGGATGGAAGCTCGATCCTCCGTCGGCTCTTCGTGGCTCTGGTTCTAATCAGTTCAGGTTGACGGAAAAGGCCGTCACTGTGACGGTATACCAATTAGAAAGAGTCGTTCCCGTTGCTATTTGTACCCGGCTCCATTAAGCTGGTGGTGTGGTGGATCATTAGGGAAACACAGTCATCTCTCCTATACTGCTGTCATGTCGAGAAACAACGAATAATTTGATATGCGTTACGAGAGAGAGAGAGAGAGAGAGAGAGAGAGAGAGAGAGAGAGAGAGAGAGAGAGAGAGAGAGAGAGAGAGAGAGAGAGAGAGAGAGAGAGAGAGAGATTTTAAAGGCATACAGGATTCTGTGTTCTACAGTGTTATTGACGTATGTTTAAGTATGCATTGACGTATGTGTTGACACACATGTACACATATGTATATTGTAGCCTCTGAGTCTCAAATATCGCATCAGCACCTAAAACGAAAAATGGCTAATGAAC